AAAAAGAAAAAGGAGAAAGGGTTTCCCGAACAGACGGCAGCGCACGCTTTCCCACCTCTATCGTTCCCCGAGAGACATTTCATATATTTGTGATATCTTTTATTTAAAGAATGGTAATTTAGTCATTTTGTACATAAAAAGGGGTATTTTTAAAAATGGACAGCCAAAGGGGACATTTTTGAAAAGGGATATTGAAAAAGGAGCATTTTTGTGAGTCTCCCTATTTTTAATAGAGTTCATTTCAAATTTTTAATTACATCGAAAATATTTTGTGTTAATTTCAAGACATAATAATTATTTTTTCCTTTGTAACTAGTTATAGAAAGATATTGATTATAACGGAAAAAATTTCAGATAGAAAAGTTTTTAAAAACTACAAAATTAGTCAAATCTCTATATAAATTAGTAATTATTCATTTTATTGATAAATTAATATCTCTACTAATTAATAGAATTTGACGGTTTCGATATTATTAATTTATAGAGGTTTTACTGTATGTATAACTAGTTCAAAATATTCTTACTTTTCAATTCTATTTAAGAAAATATAGATTGAAATTTCTTTTTTTGTTAAAGAATATATTAAACAATTCAATATTATTATATGAAAGCATATGCAATCTAAAATATGTAATTCAGCTTAACTTAATATAGGATTTAGTTTAATTTCATGAATGATTCTTTGCTAAATTTACTTGAAGCAAAGCTCAACTTTAAATATATTAATAAAGCAGGTAGCCAGAAACCAAAAGCATACGAAGTGATATTTGAGGACGCAAATGGAATGTTCCACAAGGCAGAGCTAGCAAATAACGCAATGAACGAAGTGATCTTGTCTGCTGGAGCAATGGGTAGCCCGCAACTGTTGATGCTAAGTGGCGTAGGTCCTGCAGCCCATCTTGCGGCTCACGGCGTGAATCCACTCGTCCTAGATCACCCTATGGTTGGGCATGAGATCGCTGATAATCCCATGAACGTTGTATTCATCCCTTCTCCTCAACCAGTAGAAGTGTCCCTCATACAAACTGTTGGGATCACAAAGTTTGATAGTTACATTGAAGGTGGAAGTGGCTTGAGTCTCTCTTTTGACTTGACCCGTAGGTTTTTCGATGGTGTTTTGAATCTTTTTAACGAGGTATATAACATAAATACATTTAAAGGTTATTGTTTATGAGATTATATGTTGTCTAACTATGACGGATTATGCAGACAAGCCGTACTACATCTAGGAACAGGGCCGGCCCATATGTAAAGCCCATGAAGCAAGGGTTTTAGGCATCAAATAATTATAAGTAGTTTTAAGGGCATTAATTTTTAAAATGTTACTGTGGTCTAGTGGTTAGATTGAAGTTTTTTGTTGTACAGGTCACGGTTTCGAATCCCATACATGTTAAAACTTGTATTTTTTTTTTTATAACAGCTTTTGTTAATGGGCCAAAAATTTTTTTGCTTTATGCACTCAAATAGTTTGGGCCGGCTCTGTCTAGGAATATCCTGACCCACTCTATTGAAGTCCTTTTGAAATCTTTGGATCTTGGATTGGACGTAATGATTAATGGGGGTTTGATCGTTCAAAAAATCGATGGACCGGCCTCAAAAGGACACATGGAGCTCCGGAACACGGACCCAAGGGATAACCCTTCAGTGACATTCAACTACTATCAAGAACCTGAGGATTTGAACAAGTGTGTTAAAGGGCTTAACACCGTTATTCAGACGATAAATTCTAAAGCCTTCTCCAAGTACAAGTACCCAGGTGTGACCGCACGTGAGCTGCTCAATCTCATGTTGGGCCTTCCCATCAATCTGAGGACAAGGCACGTGACCTCAACGTTCAACTTGACGCAGTTTTGCATCGACACTGTGATGAGTATTTGGCATTACCATGGAGGTTGCCAAGTTGGAAGAGTGGTTGACAAGAATTACAAAGTCATAGGCATAGATTCCTTAAGGGTAATCGATGGATCCACATTTCTGAAGTCTCCAGGGACTAATCCCCAAGCCACGGTCATGATGCTTGGAAGGTAAGCATACAGACCAAATGATCACAAAATCAATGAATAAGATATGCTTTTTGAAGAAAAATGATTGTTAAAGTTCTATGTGTAGGTACATAGGGCAGAAAATTCTTCGGGAAAGGGCGGTTATCCACGAAAAGTAGCAAAAAGCCTAAGGTTAAATATAATTGTTGTGACTAAACTTAAATTCATACCCTTTTTTATTGATTAGTACATTGCATTACAACAACTAAAAAGGGAAAGAGTAAGAGAGTAGACGAAAGTTCTCGTATCTATAACCAAAAAGACGACATTTTAAACCACAAATCCTATTAGGATGCTTAACTAAAGATTGAAATAGCGTATAATCTCGAAGAGAGAAAATAACAAAGCGGATAAGGAAGAAATCCCAAAAGAATACAAAGGAAAGACGGGCACTTTACTTACCACGCTGCATTAGTTTTGTCTTGTAGAAGATGTGAAGTTATTTACAAAGAACGAGAGTGGTTATTGATGTTGATTATTGATTTATCTTCTGAACTCAAATATTTCTTATTTAGTATTTTCGAGAAAGAATTTTTTATCTTTTAATATAATCTCAAGTTGCATTGTTAGGTAAATTAAAGTTGGTGTCTTTCTTTGGTTTTGACTTTTGAGAGGAACCAATAAAGACTTTAATCAGTTTATGTACTTGTTGTTTTAAGAGAATTTGCACTCAATGACAAAAGTTATATGATGTTTAAGAAAATAACAATATAGGGAAATAAAATATTTGTTAATTAGTTTTTGGACGAGTTTTGGATGATTTTACCTTTTATTTACTCCATATGTTTCAATTTATTTGTATTTTAAGATTTTTGCACACAGATTAAGAAATCACAAAAATATCTTTTAATTTACATTTTTTACAGAAAAATATTATTGATTACAACCAATAAAAAACATAGAGTAAAATATAATTGGTAAAAGAATGTCAAATACAATTAATTTTTACATAGAAAATTAAAAACACAATCACACTTATTTTGCAACACAAATTTTTCCTTCAAATTATAAATGAATTGAGACAGAGGGAGTATTTGTTAGGAGACAAATAGTTTTCTCCGTAACATGCATGCTATTTTCTTACGTGTAGGGCTAGTTATGGAGGTTAGAGTTTAGGATTTTAGGTGTAGGTTTTAGTAGTCCATTTGATAAAATTAGTTGTACATAATAATATATTTTTTCTGTTCCAATTTCATTTGTCACTTAAAATTTTACAGAAAAAGTAGTTGTAGTTACTGGATTTTTCTTGTATATTTCAGTACAATAAATCGTTTGGTTGTAAGAAAACCCCATAAATTGGGGAACTAATCAAATTTGCACAAGTACTTCATCTTGTGATAATGTTATATAGTCTGTATAATCTCCAAAAGATAAAGAACATTGCAAATCTAATCTAAAACTGTGCGCAATGGGTTTTCTTATTTTTTGTTTAATTCTCGTCACAATTTTCATATTTTATAGCCCATGTTATTCCGATAAAGGTACAATTATACTAGTTAGTAGTTACTATTCATTCAATCATCATGGCCATGTTCAATAATATTTCACCTGTTACGTTATGTTTATAATTAATATTGTTTTCATAAAAACAGGGTATTACGGATTTATGAAAGATGCAACACTAGCACCAACTTATGCTCGCTTCGACTACATAGTCATCGGAGGAGGAACTTCCGGTTGTGCATTAGCCGCAACGCTCTCTCAAAACGCTAACGTTTTGGTTCTTGAACGAGGCGGCTCTCCCTATGATAATCCTGCCGCTACGGATATCGAAAAATTCGCCAACACACTCTTAAACACCACACCAAAAGCGTGGTCGCAGCTTTTCATATCCGAGGACGGCGTTTATAACCATCGTGCGCGCGTCCTCGGTGGAGACTCGGTGTTGAACGCTGGGTTTTACTCACGTGCGGAGGATTATTATGTGGAGAAGTCTGAGTGGGAGATGGAGGAAGTGGAAGCTGCTTACGAGTGGGTCGAGAAGAAACTTGTGTTCAAGCCACTAGTGATGGGATGGCAATCGGCATTGAGAGATGGGCTTTTGGAAGCTGCGATCATATCGTTGGGACTAAGATTGGCGGTACAATCTTTGACCCCGCGGGCCATAGACATTCGGCTGCAAATCTGTTAGAGTATGCTAACCCGGACACGATTGTTGTTTACTTGCACGCTCTTGTTCACAAAATCCTCTTCACCACTAAAGGTAATTTGATTAATTCATAATTTTATATACACATTTTGTTTTTCATTATTTCTAATTTTCTATATATACTTTGGATATGAATACTCTTTTTTGGACAGGAAGATCGAGGCCTGAGGCGTGTGGAGTTATATATCAAGACGCAAATGGAGTGTTTCACAAAGCAAAACTCGCGAAAAATGCAATGAGCGAGGTGATTTTGTGTGCGGGTGCCATTGGGAGCCCGCAACCATTGATGTTGAGTGGTGTGGGTCCTAGGGCCCATCTTGAGGCCCACGGGGTCCATCCGATGGTCCTCGATCAACCCATGGTTGGGCAAGGGATGGGAGATAATCCAATGAACCTTGTCCTCGTCCCTTCTCCTCAACTTGTAGAACTGTCCCTCGTAGAGGTCGTTGGTATCACCAAGTTTTATGATTTCATTGAAGGTGGAAGTGGCTTAAGCCTCTCTCATAACTTGACCCGTAGGTTCTTCGATGGTAATTTGAATATTCTCAACGAGGTACGATTTTAAATACATTAAAAGGTTATTATAACTTATATTACTCAACCTTGCATGAGACTATATATATTTGCCATTTACTAATAACACATAGTGCATGCAGACACTCTCCACCCAGTCAATCGTAGACTTCTTCAAATCCTTGGATCTTCCATTGAATATGATGGAAAATGCGGGCTTGATCTTCCACAAAGTAGATGGACCAGTCTCAAGAGGATACCTAGAACTCCGGAACAAAAACCCGGATGAGAACCCTTCAGTGACATTCAATTACTACCAAGAACCAGAAGATCTTGAAAGGTGTGTTAAAGGACTTAATACCATTATTAAAGTGATAAAATCGAAGGCCTTCTCGAAGTACAAGTACCCGAATGAGACCGTACGCGGACTACTCAATCGCACGCTTAGCCTTCCTATCAATCTAAGGCCAAAACACATCTCCTCGAAGTCCAACTTGACGCAGTTTTGCATAGACACTGTGATGACTATTTGGCATTACCATGGAGGTTGCCAAGTTGGAAGAGTGGTTGACAAGAATTACAAAGTCTTAGGTATTGATGCCTTAAGGGTCATCGATGGATCCACATTTCTCAAGTCTCCAGGGACCAATCCACAAGCCACGGTCATGATGCTCGGAAGGTAAAACGCTGATGATATATACGAAATGATCATATGATTCTTCGAGTTATACTTATATATGATTGTTTGAGAGTGTTACTTATGTGTAGGTACATGGGGCAAAAGATTCTTCGAGAGAGAGCTGCTTTTCGAGAAAAAGATTATGATTATTTGATCGTTTCTCCAACTAAAGATGAGACCAGTATATGAGAAAATTCTGAAAACATACATAATCAGTAATAATGTATATCACATATCTCATGTATATTTGGAATAAAGAAAGAAATTTGATCCAGTTGTGGAGTTTTCTTATGTGGGCCTTAAATTGGGCTTGAAATTAAATGGTTCGATAATACGGTTTACTAAGCCGAGTTAAGTAAACCGGAAAATATCAATATTTAGTTCTCAACTTCATTTATTAACTCATTCTCCGTCGTCCGGAATTCTGCAACGATTGTTAGGGTTTATCGAGAGCGGAGAGGAGAAAGCGAAACCTAAAATCGACATTAATGGCTGACGAAGATTACAACGAAGTCGATGACTTGGGGTTATTCTCTCTTCCTCTCTCTCGGTTTCGTATGTATTCATTATTCGTGCTCGGATTTTGAAAAGATTCTATCTTCTTCCTCGACGATTGAGAGCAAATTGGATTAGTTATGGGCTAAATTAACAGTTTTTATACATGGGTTTTCGTAGATGAAATGTTACTTCGATTATGTTCGGCATAGTATTGATTCTAATCGATTTTAAGGTAGAAACCCTAATTTCATGGTCGGTTGATTCAGAAGAAAGGTTTAATTTTTGGACTCTCTGAGCTTTTCTAGTGAGTAAATTGAAGAAAATTTGGGCTATGGTTTAACACTGCTTTCAATTGCAGATATGAGGATGAGCCAGTGGAGCCTGAGATTGAAGTAAGTTCAATATTCTTTCTTTGTATAAGAGACATGGGTGTTGCTTATTATACAACTTTTGGTTTCTGATTAGTTTTTTTTTATTGTTGTGTAGGAAGGAGTGGAGGAAGATGCTGAGATGAAGGAGAATGATGATGTCAATGGTGAGCCTCTTGAAACTGAAGATAAGGTCGAAACAGAACCTGTGCAACGTCCACGTAAAACGTCAAAGTTTATGACCAAGTATGAGCGTGCTCGTATTCTGGGCACTCGCGCTTTGCAGATTAGGTATGGTTCTTTCTGGTGAAAGCAATCTTTGTACTGTTAAATTGGCTTTGAAAGTTTGATTCTTAATGTTGTTTTTTGGCTAATACAGCATGAATGCTCCTGTCATGGTTGAGCTGGAGGGTGAGACTGATCCACTTGAGGTGTGATACTTTCTTGTTGTTGTTTTTGGACATGTTCTGGCTGTCAGTAAACTTAGATATATATGAACATTTGAGCTAATTTATTATGATTTGGTTTCAGATTGCAATGAAGGAGCTTAGGCAGCGGAAGATACCATTCACAATTAGACGTTATCTACCTGATGGGAGGTGAGAGATTGCATTGGGCTTATATTCTTTTCTTCACACACTTGATCTCTTCTTTTCTTGTGACTTACTTATGATTCTGAATCAGTTTCGAGGAATGGGGAGTTGATGAACTGATCGTGGAAGACTCATGGAAACGTCAAGTAGGTGGTGATTGATAATCTGACCACCGACAAATCCGTATGTAATTTGCAATCTGTTGCTCTCATATGGATGATAATTTTCTGATGTTTTAGTAGAACTAAAATTCAGTGAAACTTATGTATAATACTGGAATCATATTCCTAAATTTTGCAAAACTAGAAGCCCCAAGTTCCATAATTCCCCTATATCATTATTATACATATTAGAAACAGAACATGGACAGATGTACACATTCATACTCTTTAAGTTCATCATACATTGATTAGAACAATTCCAAGATCAAGATTTTCTTAGCAAATGTCTCTAAGTAATATCTCACGCTTCTTTATCCGTTTTGCGGTAATTCGCCCTCTCTTGAAGAATCCTTTGGCCCATATACCTACACAAAACACTCGACTCAATCAAATCTTTAACATGTTTTAGATTATTTGGATCCTTTGGTTCATGCATTTACCTTCCGAGCATCATAACCGTAGCTTGAGGATTAGTCCCCGGAGACTTGAGAAATGTGGATCCATCGATGACCCTTAATGAATCGATGCCTAAGATTCTGTAATTCTTGTCAACCACTCTTCCAACTTGGCAACCTCCATGGTAGTGCCAAATTGTCATCACAGTGTCTATGCAAAACTGCTTCAAATTGAACATCGAGGTTATGTGCCGCGGCCTCAGATTGGTAGGAACGCTTAGCATTAGATCAAGTAGTCCATGTATCGTCGCGTCCGGGTACTTGAATTTGGAGAATGCCTTGGAGTTGATCACTTTGATAATGGTGTTGATCCCTTCAACACATATCTGTAGATCCTCTGGCTCTTGATAATAGTTGAACCTTACTGAAGGATTATCATCTGGGTTTGTGTTCCTAAGCTCCAAATGACCTCTCGAGATTGGTCCCGCAATTTTTTGGAGGATCAAACCGGCTCTTGTGGTCGCATTCAATAGAGGATTGGATTTGAAAAAATCTGTGATGGATTGGGTCGACAGTGTTGGAGATGTAGTACTCGTAGTACGGCTTGTCTGAATCTTACACAATGGAAAAAAAAAAAAACAGATTTGACATGTCGTTTCATGAATATAAATATCAAAGTTATATAATAAAATTCAATGTGTTAATCTATATTATACCTCGTTGAGATAATTCAAAACACCATCGAAAAATCTACGAGTCCAACTATAAGAGAAGATGACACCACTTGCTCCTTCAATGTAACTTTCAAACTTTGTGATCCCAACGACTTGTATTAGAGAAACCTCGACGGGCGTAGGAGACGGAATAAATATGGCATTCATCGGATTATCTCCCATCCCTTGCCCTACCATCGGATGATCTAAGACCACCGGTTTAATCCCGTGAGCTGTGAGATGAGCCGCGGGACCTATGCCACTCAGCATCAACAATTGCGGGCTCCCAATGGCCCCCGCGGACAAAATCACCTCATTCATTGCATTCTTCTCTAACTCTGCCTTGTGTATCACACCGTTGGCGTCTTGAAATATCACTCCGTATGCTTTTGGCCTTGGCCGTCCTGTCCAAAACATAGTTTTGTATCTTTAAGTGCAAGTAGACATATAAACCGAACCGAATCTAAATTGTCATGTTTCAATGAAACTAAACTGAAATCAATTTTAATTAGTCCAACCCAAACCAAATAAATTAAAACCAAACCAAGACAAGTGTGTAGATGAATCAATACCTTTGGTGGTGAAGAGGATCTTGTGAACAGAGGCATGCAAGTAGACAACGATGTTGCCCGGATTAGCATATTCCAACAAATCAGCGGCCGTGTGTCTATGACCAGCACGGTCAAAGATCGTACCACCGATCTTAGTCCCATAAATATGATCATACGTGAAACCGTTGTACGGAAACTCACCAGCCTCCAAAAGCCCATCTTTAAACGCCGTTTGCCATCCCATCACCGGCGGTTGAAACGCCACTTTCTTCTCGACCCACTCGTAAGCAGCTTCCACTTCATCGCTCTTCCACTCAGTCTCCTTCACGTACTCTTCTCCCGCACGAGTGTAGAACCCGGCGTTTAACACCGAGCCACCACCGAGGACGCGTGCACGAGTGTTGTAAACGCCGTCCTCGGAGACAAAAAGCTGCGACCAAGAATTGGGTGATGTGTTTGAGAGTGTGGTGGCAAAGTTTTCGATATCCGTTGCCGTCGGATTGTCGTAGGGAGCGCCACCACGTTCAAGAACCAAAACGCTAGCGTTTTGAGCTAGCGTTGCGGCTAACGAGCAACCCGAAGTTCCTCCTCCGATGACTATGTAATCAAACCGAGCGAACATTGGTGCCGATGTTGCATCTTTCATAAAACTGTAATAGCCAGCTTCACGAAAAAAGAACAAAATATTCACTGTATTAATGAATATTTATCGTCACACATTGAATGATACGTAAAAGAAACTATACCTTTATCTGGCAAACACGAGGCATGGGAGATGTATGTTACGATGAAAATTATGCGAAATAACCATAATCTTTGTAAACCCATTATGGGTGAAAGATTAAGTTTGATTCTTTATATTTAGAGTAGAGCAAAAAATAAGAATAGGTTTGATAGGGTTTATATAATAAGATGAAGCATAAGCCTCTTTTCGTTTGCCTTTATGAGAGGAAGCTTTTATGGTTCACCAGCACATATTTATTGATCATAGAATCATACAAAGATTTTAGGGTCTTGGTTATTTTATTTTAATGAACAAGGAATGTTCTTGTTTCTCGTATGTTTTATTATTCGAATCTCTGCAATTATAATATAGCTAAATTAATAGTTACGTACAATGAAATTCGATCAAAAATGTTAAACTATTTTGACTATTAGTTTTAACTAAATGTCAAATAGAAAATAGTTAATGGGTGATTAGGTAAAAGTAGTAAGTAACACATCATTATAAATTTCTTTAATCTTAATATAGCTAAATTAAGAAGCACGAAAATGAAATATGATCAAATTCGATTTGAACTATTTGATGAGTACATGTCAAATAGAGAAATAATTAATGAGTGTTAGCCTGTTAGGTGTGAAAGTAGTAGTTACACATCAATTATAATTTTATTTGTTTGATCTCTTGCATGAAAAGATCTTATCGCAACAACCTCTAATTATCGATATGCATAAAAATCATAGTGCAATACCTTTTTAAAACAAATTATAATGTCAAAACTTTTGCGGTTGGGGTTTAGGGTTGTCTTTGTAGCAAGATTAATGTCATAGTTATTCAATGATTACAAAATAATAAATGGTCCTTAAAAAATGTGCTATATTCCATTATCCCATAACCCATTTTTATTCCCGTATGGAAAAACAAAGCAATAGGCAATTAACTAGTGTCCGTCGTTAACAGAGAAATAAAAGTTAAATGAGTTATGCAAAAGTTACTTGCTAATTTTGTACTCTAATTGATTTGACCTGATTTATGAAAATTATAGGACCAACACAAATAGAAAGAAGTTAGCTCCAACTGCGGACTGCCCATAACTTTGTTTACATATAAGAGTTTAGTTTTTAATTCAACACTATCTTTGGTAACAATATGTGCATGTTTTTATTATTTGATTATCTATTTAGAGGAAGGTTTTTGAGTTTTGGTGGATTTAGTGGTTCTAAGAACTACACATATCGGATCTACTTTTATGAGCCTCCTTCCACCGATTTAGTCAGTGGGGGCCTGCTTTTAAGTTGGTTGTTTTCCTGTTGTTATATGTTTCATTTGACTTACCAAATTCAAAATAAAAAATAGAGAAATATTTTAAAATATCATCCTTTTAAGTTTTAGTTCTAAAAATACCATTACTAGTTTGTTTTCCCAGTAGTACCACAAATATTTGTGTAAAATACTTGTTTACCCAAAATAAATTAAATATTTCAATTTTCGGAAATTTTCTATTTGTGGTGTTATGAAAAGAAAATTAATGATATAAATATACTTAAAAAATACTAGTATAGATATGGTATTTTCTAGAATTACCTCAAAAATAAATCTATATGATTTCAAAATATGATTTAAAATAAATCATTTTATATTATACTATTACAAATTATTATGACATATAGATAGAATACCAGAGATCACGATTCCACGAAAAAAAAAAAAAGAAAACCCTCAGAAAAATTTCAAATAACTTAACGATTTTAAACATTATCCAACATATGAATTAGTAATTAACTATTTGAGTTTAAAATCGTTAAGTTATTTGAAAATGTTCTAAGTTCTTTAACCAAACAAAAAAAAAAAAAGGTTCTAACTTCTAACTTCTAACTTCTAACTTCTAAGTCCTCTCATATTATGGGCCTGTGCTGCTTTCAAAAGCCCATTACGAAATTTAAGTCCATCTTCGTCACATCCTGATTCTTCCTTCTCTTTGACCGCTGGATTTTGTCTCTCAGTCTACTTTATCGGATCGGCGCCGGCGAGATTCAAGGTAATCTTCTTCACTTACTTCTATTGAACATACTCGAAAAGACCCATTCTTCGGGTTCATTAGTTCCCAATTCGACCTTTTTCCTGATTCGATCTCGATTATTCGTTCAATCATCGATTCCAACTTTTTGTTTTCGATTTGTCCACTGTTGTAATCGAGTCTGAGTTTTTGTATATTTAGTTGTTAAAGAATTGGGTTTTTGAAAGGACAAAACTTTTGAGGTTTCTCAACTTGGAATTTTCAGATTCGATTCGGAGTTAAAAACCCGAGATTTATGTCTCTCTTTGAAATGTGTTTATAAGTAAAGAAAGAAGAAGATGAGTGGTGAAGTTGTTATAGCTGCTAGAGTATATCGTGGCCTTCTTAAAGCAGTGTTGAAACATGTTGGTAAAGAAGATTACAAGTCTCATTTCATTGACTTTGTTAAGCAAGAATTCCGGAAGAATGCAAATTCGGAGAATATCAATCTCGCCCGCAATTACACTTATCTTCTCAATAGCATTCACTCTCACAAGGTGAAGTCTTTTTTAAGATTTCTGTATCACATTGGCCATTTGTCTTATAGAAGCTTGGCTATATCTGCACATCAATGCATTTTGTGTGTTTAGTGACTTTAGTCTCACATGGATAAGTTATCTGGTTGTTGCAGGATTTGTTGTTCTCATACAACATTGCGGTTGATAGAACTGAAGAAATGAAACGAGTGCTTAATAAATCTGCAGCTAGTGTAGGGCTTCGTCTTCCTGAAGTTTACGAGACTTGATCAGGCAATTCATTCGGGATTCTTCATGTCTATGGACAGGTCTTGGGTTAATTTTTGATTAAATGAGATAGTAGATGGAGCCAGAGAGCTCTTCTGTTCCTTTAAGCTTTTAAGTATTGACAATTGTTGTTGTATTGTACCGCATTTTTTAGAAATATGTGTACCAAGAGCATATTCATGACCTTGATATGTTTGATGGAAACCACCAAAGTGAGAGAATACAGAAGCAATTGCAAATTCTGATATAAAGAAGCCAGCCAAAAAGTAAATGAAAAGAACTTCCTTAATACTTCTAGTTTTTCTTTAATTAGTCTTTGACTTCATTAGCATTATGATCTGATATTAGTAAATGTTATCCAAGACATAAGAAACCATTCTTGAAAACTTAAAGCTATTTAGAGGAACTTGTTCTGATCATGTCTATATTTGGATGATGAGTAAAAAATGGTAAATAAGATTTATGATGAGAAATTAGAAACCATAAGGGTTTTATCCAAATCTCGATAAGCCATCCACCGCTTGTGTTTATCACTTTATCTGGTTCTTGTTTTGTATTTTTTCTATTTATTTATGGGATATTTAGTGGAGACTTCGATGTTGACACTTTTATTTTCTTATTCATTCTTTAAGGCTCTGGTAGCTTTGGCTTTAATCTAAAAGCTAAGATCAATAGAGAGCTTTGAGCTGAGCATAGTAGAGAAGAGTTATGGGGAAAGGAGGGATGTCTCATGGAGAAGGCTCAAAGGTTGAAGAAGAAAACATGGCTGCTTGGTTGGTTGGTCTCAATACCCTCAAGATCCAACCTTTTCTTCTTCCTTCAGTTGGTAAGATATAATTTTATCTGGGATTTATTTATTTTGTATTGTCATGTGATCCTTTGGTTCAAAGCCTTGGAAACTGATAGATTTGTGTTCATGCAAAGGTCCTCATGATGTGAGAGTTAGGATGAAAGCTGTTGGTATTTGTGGAAGTGATGTTCATTACCTAAAGGTACTTATGCTATAATCAAAGATAATCTTTTTTTGGTTCTCTGGTTTGTTATGGCTCTTTGACATTGGTTTTTGATGTCTGTAAATGTTACAAAACAAAGACCATGAGATGTGCTGATTTTGTGGTGAAAGAACCGATGGTGATGGGACATGAATGTGCTGGGATCATTGAAGAAGTAGGTGAAGAAGTGAAACATCTAGTGGTTGGTGACCGTGTTGCTCTTGAACCTGGGATTAGTTGTTGGAGATGCAATCTCTGCAGAGAAGGGCGATACAACCTTTGTCCAGAGATGAAGTTCTTTGCAACTCCACCGGTTCACGGCTCTCTAGCCAATCAAGTGGTACACCCTGCGGATCTATGCTTTAAATTGCCTGAGAATGTGAGTTTGGAGGAAGGAGCAATGTGTGAACCACTTAGTGTTGGTGTCCATGCTTGTCGCCGAGCTGAGGTTGGTCCTGAAACAAACGTCTTGGTAATGGGAGCTGGACCTATTGGCCTTGTCACCATGTTGGCTGCTCGGGCTTTCGGTGTGCCTAGAATTGTTATTGTGGATGTTGATGAGAACCGTTTAGCCGTAGCAAAACAGCTTGGTGCAGATGGGATTGTTCAAGTGACAACAAACTTAGAGGTTCCTTGCACTTTTTTTACTTCCTAAATCTTTCTGAAACATTAATGATCTGATGGTATAAAGATAAGAACTTTTCCCTTTTTACTATCGCAGGATGTTGGTTCTGAGGTTGAACAAATTCAGAAAACTATGGGCTCAAACGTCGATGTGACATTCGATTGTGCGGGTTTTAACAAAACCATGTCGACAGCATTAGCAGCCACTCGATGTGGCGGTAAAGTCTGTCTTGTCGGAATGGGTCACGGTATAATGACTGTCCCTCTCACTCCTGCAGCTGCAAGGTAACCTCTTTTGACCATCATAGTAAGAAAAAAACTTCCTAACTTTGAAAAGTTCAATCACATGATCAACAACTAAATGTTCTTTGTTTTTCGAGACAGGGAGGTAGATGTGGTAGGTGTGTTCAGGTACAAGAACACATGGCCTTTGTGTCTTGAGTTCCTGACAAGTGGTAAGATTGATGTAAAGCCACTCATAACCCACAGATTCGGTTTCTCTCAGAAGGAAGTGGAAGATGCCTTTGAAACCAGTGCTCGTGGGAGCAATGCCATCAAAGTTATGTTCAATCTGTGAAAAAAAATCTTCCCTTTTCTAAGACCATTTCAAGGTTTCTTCTGTAACTTTGTTATCCACTGTACTTGTACAATCAACTCTGAAATCTCTCTTGAATAAATAATCCTTTATGACAAATTGACCATACAATCCAAGCGTTACAAGACAAATGCTGAAATTGGACAAAAAGGGACCTAAATTCTCCCAATTCTGTCTCAAAACTCCTAACATGACACAGATCTTGGCCACTGTCCATCTCATTAGACCGTGGCTTCTACTAGGAGGACCTCAACAAAAAAGAAAAATCTCAAAACAGACCCATATATAATGGTACAAGAGAATCGTAGAAAATAACTCTTTGACGATAGCATCAAACTTTCTCAAGGCAAAGCCGCGGTTGGTTCAGTGCACCATTTCCATACTTTAACTTGACCAGTTCCGTCACCCGTGAAAAATATGCCCCCGGGACCTATCTGGATCGCTCGTATCTCTTGCTTTGCAAAGATTTTTCCCCTCTCCGTAAATCTAATGAACAAACCCTAAGCTATCAGAACCAATCAAAGAGGAAGAATGGAAGAATTCAGACATAAAAGTTGCAAGTCTTACGATGGTAAGTCGTAGAGGCGCAAGGTGTTGTCATTGCAAGAGCATAGCAAAACCGGCTTGGCTTCTGCATCGTGTACACCACATAGAGCTAGCACTCCCTGAATCCAATTTCGACATTGCTAAAATTTATTAGTTACATTATATATAGAAGTAGAACCATAAGAGAAGATAACACACATATAAAAGAAACCATACATGTTCTTCTTTGTGAGTGTATGTCGCTTCCAAATTGCCACCTTCAACTGCAGCCCATATCTACAGCGGAAAAAACACGTTAACAAGGGAAAGAATGAAACTTCCAAAAGAACGAAACTTCCAAGAAAGTTATCGGAATTTAAGAAAGACGAACTAACCTTAACCGTGTTGTCCAATGAACAAGACAAAAGAAACTGATCCCAGCAAATGAGAGACATCACAACTGATGTATGATCCGTGAGTGTTTGTATACACTGCAGATTATCCAGGCTCCAAACCTATTTAAACAAAAAACATATAAACCAAAACGATTAGCTCAAAGAAAAAAAGTACTGAGAGTTTTAATTCAAGAATGATAGATAATATAAGTAATTACTTTTATAGTTTTGTCCATGGAACCCGAATAAAGTCTGTTTGCCCCAACATATAAGGTAACAACTGCAAGTGTATGGCCCGTCAGTGATGCCGCCGGTTCAAAACAGTTAGTGGCAGCATTATATCTCCATGCCAAAATAGAGCCATCCTGCAGAGATAGTAAAGAACTTGTCACTTACTTTACCAAAAGCCGACATATTTCGCAGAGATCTCAGCAAGAAAATAAAATCTCAGAATTTTACCTGTGTACCAGCGAAGAGCAGATCAGTACCCACAACTAGAGAATATACTTGGCCAACAGGTCCATTTAGACTCTGTTCTGCATTGGTTTCAATATTCCACGCCTGTATCAACAACAATGAGACATAACCCAACAAGCATCTAAGAATGAAAGAGGTTCCTCGATATATATTGTGACAGTCGAAGAAAAGTACTGCTAAGTGGAATCATACTAAGAACTTGCCTTGACAAGATTTGGCATGCCAACTAATAGCCACGGCCCTTCGCTAAGCACACAGCCAACTTCCCCACCAAGTTTAAGTACTCCTGTACACTAATCAAAAGAGAGAAAAAAAACACAATATCCACTAAGTAAACTTAAAACAGTATCTCACAAGATCAGAACTGCATTCCTCAAAAACGATCATGATCACCGAATTAGACTATTCTGTTCCTAATTTGACAACTAGGACACCAATTGCCATCGATATATGAGTGCTCACTCCTCTACATGTTGATCAAGCACTTATAACTATTCGTTAAACAATTCATCAAACAAGGATTTCTAGCTAGAGAGGACAACACAAACATCCATTGGTTCAAAATATTCAATCAGAATCAAAACAATTACACATCTCCCTTCCTAATGAATAAACTTGACAAAATTAATTCTTTTAAGCCACTCTACATCCTAACCAAACAATTCTATCACTGAGCAAGACTAAAAAAAAACAAAAGGGTACATTGAACAAGATAGAATCGAATCAAAGACCTGTCCAGAAGCACAATCCCAAACACGCAAGGTCTCATCTTTACTTCCAGTGTAAAGCTTATCAGAGCCAGAAGGCAAAGCAATACCACTAACAAGCTTCTCATGACCATCAAGCTGAGTCAACAACGAAAAACTCTCTCCTTTACTCCAACAATGCAAGTACCTACACTTATCACCGTACGTGCAATTCCCATCTACCCAAAAGTTGCAAACTTTCTCAGTCTTCGTCACCGTTCTGTTCCCACCAAATCTCCCCCAACTACTATTCGAGTTCCCGTTAAACCCAGGTCCTCTCCGATGACTCGGACCCGCAAAACCAGATTCTTCAGCGACCCTTTTGTTTGTATAACCCGGACCTTGACCCTGACCCGGACCAGGACCCGGTAATTCTCGATGTAGATAAGGACAAGGAGAACGATTACAACGCCCGGCTCGCCAGTGGAAACAAACCTTTTGCCTTGTATCCGTTGGTGCCATCGTACGAGTTGACCCGCCGCCGCCGCCGCCGCCGCCGAGTCTGTTGAAGACTCGTTTGTTTCCTCCGTTCAAATCAAAATCCATAGCTTCTTTTATTGACTCACTCTCTTTATCTAGATTACAACAACAACGGACACAAATTAACACAAGACAGGACTTAAAATAAGATCGGTGGTTGTGTCAAAATCCGATCATGATAGATAAATCAAGCGGCAAAATTGGAGGAAACCCTAGAAAATTTTAATTACCGAAAACAATCTCTGAAAAGTAGTAATCAAAATATGGAAGTATAAGAAAGAAAAATTTGGGATTGTTGTGAATGTGGTGAAGTAATAATAATGAAGAGAAAAAGAGAGAAACTTTGAAGTGGAATTATTATTTGTGTTTATAAGCTTGGGATCTTCGTGGAGAGGACAGAAGTAGAAGAGAGAAAGAGGAAGTGAACAACAGTCGCGTCAGCTTGACGTCAATGGTTTAATTACTGTTGTACCCTTAGTATGGTTCTATTTTACGAAATTACTTTTCTCTCGGTTTAAACCGGTTCTGATTTAGACCGGAACGTAAGTATATACTTACTTTTTGTTCGTAGAGAGTTTTATTTCCATAATAAAATACTCATCTGTTTCATTATATAGGATGTTTTAGAGATTTTTATTTTATTTCATTATATAAGATGTGTTACACTTTTTAATGCAAATTTTAAAATTATTTGATATTATGATTATTTGTATTCCATAGTCTTTTATATCATTGATAGCTCTACGGTTGATTCGAGAAAGAGGAAGAGGACCAGAGTTTTATTAAATCAAAAATTAAATGAAATTTTTAAAAGAAAAATAGATTTCTCAAAAAGTGTGTTTTTAAGTAAAACATCACGTGGAAGTCCTCTTGGTCCATTGGTTGACCAATGATTAATTAATGCTTCTACACCAAGAGGTCTGGGGTTCGAGTCCCAGATATTGCGATTTATTAATAAATTTGCAAATTAAAGGAGGCAAGTGTGCAGGAGATCTCCAGCGAAGTACAATTATAGCCGTTCGCCAGGATTCTACGCAGAGAGAGAAGTGTCATCAGGTCGTGGATCATTGAAGGTGTCCGTCAAAAGCATGGACAAAGAAGTGTCGTCTGTCGTGAATCTAATAAGAGTCGGAAGGAATTGTCCGTTGTAAAATCGTCTATGTAACAGTTCTCATAATTTGTAATAAATAATAAATCTAGACGTAAAAAAAAAAAAAGTAAAACATCACATATTTGGAAATAGAGGGAATATAAAAACAGGCCAATTAATTTTGGAAAAATGTTAATTTAATGATCAAAATAATAAAATTATAACAAAAGGGGTTAATTCGAGAAAGTTCATGGGCGTAAAATCAATTGTTTAGTGCTATTGCTCTTGAGTTTAAAATTTATAAAAATAGTTTTAATCGTCTATAATAGTATTTTATAATATTTATTTACTATGTCAAATTTACTTGAGAAAATGTATTCGCCTTAAACGTCCAAAATTCTAGGTACGACCATATTATGTTCAATGAAAGGTGCCAAGAAACCCCAAACTTCTCAACTCAAAGAAAAGGATATTTGAGGAAAAAAGTTAGTGAGGGCCACTGGGTCAGGGACATGTTTTCAAGTGAAAACATTTCCAAGTGTTCAGTGTTTGTTTAGTGAAAAAAGATAGATGATTAGAACTTAGAACAGTGGCTGGGCTTGGCTGGCAAAAAAAAAAAAAAAAAAAAAAAAAAGAACAGTGGCTGGGCCTCATGAGAAGATTGAGGCCACAAATAAATATTTCATTTTTTTAAGAACCACAATATAGAAGCTATATCAGTCTAATGGTCAAGGAACTCTGTTACTCATTCTCTCCCTCCACGTGTTTGAAGGACTAATGTGAAAGAGATTTTATAATTTTAAACTTTTTTTGCTCAGTCTACAAGCAATTTGTTAATGATCAGGCTTATATTTGGATAAACAGAGGCATAGTTTCAAGCTTTCATAAGCTTTGGAAATTTGGTAAAGAACGAAACCAAGAGGATCTATTTACAGTTTCAGTTCAAGTACAACAAACAAAATTTTCAAATTTGTAGCTCTAATTTGATCAAATCTGTTTACCAAAAAAAACAAAGAACATTCTAATTCTAACAAAGTGATAGACAATTTATTACTAATAATTTGGTACCAAACAAAAAAATTCAGGTACGGAACTATGGACCAATCCTAGATGTCCAAGTAAATCCTTAACTAACTTATTATCCAAAAGAAATTAAAAAAATTAATCGTCGAAACTCCAGAGTGACACGTCAGCATCTCCGTCAAAGTCGTTATGATTCCAGCCAATTTCCGGCGGCGGCAAAAGCATCCCCTCCGCCATATTCTCAAAAAAGTTCGGCATCCCCAAAAGCGCCTCTTCATCCATATAAAACACACTACTCTGCTCCTCCACCCTCCTCTCCCTCTCCCTCTCCCCCTCCCCAGCCGCCTCCGCCTCCACCTCCGCCGCAGTTTTAGATCCCTCCGTCATACTCTCATTCTGAAACGCCATTGCAGCTTCAGCCGCCGCTTTCTGAATCTCCTTAGGACAAGTTGTCTCAGGAATACGAAGCCTCCAAGCCGAATCAGCGAAATTGAGACAAGCAGAGCGACCACGGAGAGCTAAAGCAGCAACATCATGAGCACGAGCAGCCATTTCAACCGTCGGAAAAGTACCTAACCAAATCCTAGATTTCTTATTCGGTTCCCTCACTTCACAAACCCATTTACCAGAATTCCTCTGACGAACTCCTCTGTAAATCGGATGACGTGTCTCACGAAACTTCTTCCTCCCAGCTCGTTTCTTAGGACAACTCGAAGCTAACTTCGGTGAACACTCACTACTGTCCGAAACCGGAGATCTGTCATCGGAGATTGAGAGAAACGAGTCCGAGAATGCAGAGTAAAAGGGATTCATTTTTGGATAAGACGATTAATTTCTCTTTCTATCTTTTGTTTTCAGGTGTTTGAACTTTTTGGGATATTTTTTATTACACAAAGTGAAGAAGTGTTGTGTTTTTATTTTATAAGAAAAAGTGAGAACACGGAAGATCTGGTAACGACAACTGTCCCACGGTATGTGACTTACACGTGTCCTTCTGAATCACTTTACTTAGTCTAAGTGTATTGCGTACTGTGTCTGTTTTGGATTCGATGGTTCAGTTAGATATTTAATATTTTATTGAATTTAAGTATGATGTTCGGAGAAAGGGGACGATATAGAAAAAGACAAAACAGGCTTTAGTTTTAAAGTGAAAAAGATACGTTGAGGATGACGTCATTAGGACACGGTTTTGACAGTTGGAGTATAAACTGCTCTCTGTGGTTCGAGAGGTGAGCCACGTTTGAAGGGACGGGTGCGTCCGCTGTCTAGCCACGGTTTGGGGTTTTGTTTTTTTGTAATATGACCCACGCGGTTTTAGCTTTTGGTGTGGGTCCCTTTTTCTATTCATTATTTTTGGAAATCCTTTGGGTTATTATTCTCTGTGTTTTATTTTTGGAAATCCGTTGGATTATTCCTAGGTTGCATGGAATCAGAAGCGGATACGCGGAAGCGAAGCGTTTGAAAACGTAGAAGCGATTTTTATAGAAATTATAGAAAGTGGGTACGTGTTGGAAGCGTATATAAAAATTAATATATATATATATATATACATATACATACATACATATATAATAAACATTAAACATTATATCATATAAAAAATTATAATTAACATACAAATCTAATACATAAATTCTAAATATCTCTCTATATTTAAAAATCAAATAGTGTACGTTTACAATAAAGAAAAGTCAAATAGTTCAATGTCAAAAATTTAAGATCATTCTTCATTCTCATTTTACTAATAAAATAAAATTGTTTTAATTTTTTTTTACCAATAAAAACATCATCAAACTAAAGTTTCTCGAAATTAATTTAATTCAATTAATCATTTCAACACTCCTTAATAAATGATCCATGCTGCTATCTTTTTTGTTTTGTCATCCAAAATTAATTAGAACTCAAATGAGTCATTCCTGAGGAATGTTGTTTACATAAGTGATATGAAGCGGTTATGTACAAAAATCCATGCTGCTATCATTTTTCTAACTATGATATTTTAAAAAATAAAATAAAAAATTAGTATGCAAAATTAGTTTTGGTTTTTCTTTTGTTGTATAAAAAAACTATCAAAAATAATTTCATATTTCTTATTTATTTTTGTGACATCAAATTTTTTAAATGGAAGCGCAAGCTTCCAAAATAGAATCGTAAGCTTCCAAGGAGCTTCCAAAATGAAATTTTTAGAAGCGTTATGGAAGCGAGATTCCGAAAGCTTCCGAGAGCTTCCGATTCCGACTAAGATTCCGAAGCGGGAAGCGGACTTCCGACGAAGCTTCCGTGCTTCCTAGGATTATTCTAAGGACTAACTACTGTATTATCATCAAAAGCCAAATTTTTGGATACGTGGCCAAGGCTGATTGTGTATATTTTTCATTCTGTAACCAAAATACGTTTAACTAATAGTTTAAAGACAACTCAGTTTGGTTTGGTTGGACGTTGGGGGTTTTTCTTTTCAGGTCAAAATTCGAGTTTTTGGTTTGTCTAAAAAAAATAATATAAATGGTTGTCTTCATTCGATTGGGTTTAAGAAAAATTTAGACCATTTCGAATAATTTTATAAATGAGAATATATATTTTAGTTAATTTCAATTAGTAAAACAAAATACTTTTATTTAATTTTATAATCAGCAATGGCCAAGGAGATTTCAAGAATTTGAGCAACTTTTTACTAAACCTTTCAACTTAAAATAAACACAAAAATCAATGAAACGACGAGCTTAACACAAAACTTCAGAAAAAACAAAACAATTTAGTAGACTCCAAGAATAGTAGAGCCAAACCTTTTATATCAACTCTGTACATTAAATTGAAGACCAAGTAAAGTCCTGAGGAAACAAAGGTGCAAGCTTTTGGTTCCATGTCAGAGGTTTTTTTTCACCCTAATAAATGATTGTATTCATGGGATCTTCCATAAGGAACTGGAACTTGGCTCTCTCACAACTCAAAGTCCATATCATCACATTGGAGGTTGTTGTTCTCAACATCCTCTTCAAGCCAGTATGTCTCCAGAATCTTAAAAGCCTTCTCGTAGATCTCATCGTTTTGGTGCCTTTGCAGCTTCATAATCTTTTCTAGCCCTTCCGCATCTTCAATCAGTTGACAATAACTGTTCACGCCTCCTCTGTTCTTTTTAGCCTCCCCGGCCTTTAAAATGTTTTCCAATCCATCCAGACACTTTAAGATGGTTCTTAGATCTGAACATACTAGAATATCACATAAAGGTTTTATTTATGCAACTCTGCTTCACCATGTATCTGAATCACACCAATGGAGAATTGTGACTTGATGATATATAATAAGTATGTTAAAGTGAAAAAAAGAAAGAAGACAGGGACGTTACTTGATTTGATCATGTGAACCATTTAAGGTCACATTTAAAATTGCCCATACAGCTTCTTTCTTCATGTAGAAGTCAGTATTTTGAGCCAGATTGACCAAGGTTGGAATCAAATTTGCATCAATAACTGACTGTAATCACCAGGGGACAAGAAAGGCAAATAGAAAAAACAATTAGCGATAGCCAAAAAACAAAGGGTGAATTTTGTTTGTGATATAGCAAACAACAAAAGTTGCTCACATGAATTTGTTCTGTAGTGCCTGCAGTGATGTTTGAAATCACCCAGCAAGCAAGCTTCTTTATGTTGTTCTCGTAGTTTCCCGTAAGCAGGTTGAAAATAATGGGTAAAGCACCACAATTGATCACACACTGAAGAATAAGTTCAAAGAGGACCATTCAGAGCCTAAGCAGAGAGCATTTGTTGTTTGGTTACAAAATCTAATCGCAACATATAACGAAGCAAGCACTGGATCCTCACTACTAATATCGGTACAGTGATATTATAAACATTCAAAAGACATTGTGAACTATGAATTACATACCTGGGTCTGGTGATTGTTTCCAGCAACTATAGTCCCAATGGTACGAAGTGCAGGAACAAGTACCACTGGAGAAGGGTGTCTGCAAAACAAAAAAAAATTGTCAGCCTTCAATATCCAAACATGTCACAAAAGGTTATATATATATTCTGAGAAGTACTAACTGGAGAATTTGAACTAGTTTTGGGACAAAACCAGCCTCAATCACACTTTGGATTCCATCTTCTGAACCATCAGAGAGATGACATAGTGCTAAGCAAGCATGTTTCAAGACTTCGTCATCATTTGAATGAAGAAGTATTTCAAGTGCTGGGAGAGCAGGTTTCACCTGTTGAATCATGCTTCATATGTTAAAAAGTATACAAACGGAGGAAAAAGAGACAGAGAGAGAAGGAAGAAGACCTGGTCGAAAGCCGGCGCAGGCTTGCCACGACACAAGTTACACAAAGTCCAAGTAGCAATTCTGACCGTAGTATCCTTGTACAAAAGTCGCAACAGTGGCATCAATACCCCAGACTGAAGAACAAAGTCACGGTAAAATATCGAATCACCAGCAACATTACTCAGTGCCCATATAGCCTGCGAGAATAATTTCAAAACTCATATCTTTGACAAGCATTCTCATATGTACACAAAGTAAAACACTTTACCTGCTCACAAACATAATCTTTAGGAGAAGCAAGAAGCTCGATTAATCTTGGAACAGCGCGGTTATTAACTACCACGTTCGGATTGTCAGCAGCAATGTTTGTTAGAGCCCAAGCTGCCTCATACTAGAAAAAAAAAGACCACTGAATATATTGGAATCAAAGATTACACTGATCATCATCATAAAAATATCAACTAACTTGAAGCTTAGGGAAATCTTCCTTCTCAAGCAACTGAACGAGACGCGGTACAACTCCAGATCGTATCACAATTTCAGAAGGACAAGTTATATCTCCTGGACAGATGATCCTTCATTAGGGTAAATGATAAAAGACGAATCTTTCAAGAAAAGTAAAGAAAGTAAAAACAGAGGAAGTTTTTACTCTGTGATAGAATACTTCTGATCTTGGTAGTGGATTCAAGCTGTAATGAAGTATCATCTGACCAAACATCATCGATCAAATCTTTTGAAACTTCGTCCACCTATATTCGAAACCCTAAAACCTCACTATTCCAACACAGAATCAACCAGAGAGTGATTACTTGTGAGATGGTTTTAGACGGACCTCTGTTTTCAGCGACATGGCTATGTTTCTCTCTTCTTCGACCTCTCCAAAGCAATTTACAAAACTTGAAAACTTGAAGATAAACCCTAGAAATCTCAACTGAAACTGTGAAATACGCAAAGATTTTTGGAATTGAGCAAGAATGCAAACAAGAATAATCGAGGAGCGAAAAAACAGATTAATATATTCTAGTCGTTATTCGTTAACCGTAAACCGTCTAAAGTAAACCGATCTTTATTTCAATTTTAGTCCGGTTTACTCCAACCCAAATTTCAGTTTGTTAGGCGCAGAGCCATCATTTTAAGAGAAGGAGATCATTCATTTACCTTCTCAGTGTGATCTATCATTCTCTGCTTCCGAATTTCTACTGTGGCGCCGCGATTGGAAAACAAAGATTCACGAGTAATTTGATCGTAGCAGTTCGATTAAAATCTCTACAAATTTTACTTTTCTTCTTTAGTGTGTGGAGTGGGGGATTTATGAAAGTTTGAGTGCTCATAAATGTCACCTAAGGATTTGACTCTTCACTCGCTCTTTGAGCTTGACTCTCCATCAAAGGTGAAAATTTTGCTTTTTGTGTTTCATCATCATCTTCTTCAAGCCGGTATGTCTTTAGAATCTTCATAGCCTTCCCGTAGATTTCATAGTGGCCGTGAAAATTGTAGGTTCTCAATCTTTTCGACCCCTTCCGCATCATCAATCAGTTGGCGATGATAGTTCACAATCTTTTGCGTTCTTCTCTGCCTCTCCGACTGAGACAAACCATTAATTTTCAGAAAGTAACTCGTACCACAATGTAATGAACTTGAATTCTCATGGCTTTTACAGCATGAATGCACAATTTCTTGGCTTATGTAAGAATGGTTCTACTTTTGATTTCAGTTACATCAACCAGAGCTCCTTTGAACTCTATTCGTAAAACGATTAACACTTAGAAATGCAACTCAATCGCCATAAATCAGAAGAGCTCATCGTCACTATCATCATCACTATCACTCAACGCAAAGTCTCCTTCATCCTCTACCCATTCATCTTCTGAAAACGCCGATACATTAAACCTCCCAAGCCCATCACTCTCCACCGTCATCTCCGCCCTCTCATCCTCATCATAAGACAACGAAAACAACTCATCTCCACCGCTAAATCCCACCTCACTCTCCTCATCCTCCTCAAACCGCGGTCTCTTCCCCGGAATCAAATCCATCTCCCCAATCTCTCCCTTCTCAACTCCACTCCAAGGCACCCACAAATCAGCATGCCGTCCCAACGCTCTATCCCTATCACTAACCACCAAAGTTCCAAGATCAGCCTCCCTAGCTTTCCTCAACATATCCGAAAAATCCTTATCATCCGATACCAAAACCAACCAATCAATCCCCCTCGTCATCGAATGCTGTATCTGTCTCTTCACCGCCCAATCCGCCGCCTGAGGCTTATCCTCCACTGTCTTCACATAAACCCCCGCTCGCCGAAGCTCCGCCTCTAAGCCATATCCAACTTTAGGAGTCAACAACCTCCTCGCCGCCTCATTATACTTGTCATTCCTTGAAACATAACGTTCTTTAAACTTCTGACGTTTCTTACCTTTCAAAGATCTCATCCTATTCACTTTCTTCTGTCTCTCCCTCTCATGAAGCTGCTTGAAATGTTTCTTCAAATCAAGATTGGTTTTACACTTCCGACCACAGACACCACAAATGTACGGATCAATTGGAGTCACTTCTCCTTTCCTCTCCATGAAATCAAGATTCCTCCTTTCTCGTCTCTCTTCGACGACCCAATGAGGTAAATGGATAAAAGCATGACGATTTGCGTAAGCGGAGATTTCGACAACTCGGCCGAGGTTCTCCGCGACTTTACGGAGAGCTGTTGCTGCTTCGTACGGTGGACCTCGTGGTGGTTTGTTGTCTAAGTCCCACAAGACTACAACTTTCTTCTCCTTTGGTGCAAAGATACCTTCTTTGTTTCTTACCATATCGATTTCAGACGAAGATGCTGATTTAAGACATGATTTAATCCGCCATGGATGACGAAGTGGTAAGCTTGTGAATTTAGGGTTTTGGAATTTGGAATTGGAGAAGGTAAAGAAGTGAGATTTGTGGGAAAGGAAGGGTTTTGGATAAAGGGTTTCAATTGAATTACAGAACAAACTCATTGGAAGCTAACGATTGCTGTTTTGGGAGTTATGAGAATTGTCAGTGAAATTGGCGTAGGTGATTTGTGGCTTTACGAAGAGATTCGTTAATTGTACTGGACGTGAATCAGAGATTGTCTCTCTGGGTAAGTTTGGGTGTGGAATGTTATTATCTAACATGTCCGGCGAGGAAGACGACGGCTATGTGGATATTCATTCTCTGGGCTAACAAAAGTTTTATCCTTTTGCCTTTGTTGTTTAAGAGCCTCTAGTACAGTTGGAGGGTCTTGAAAAGAGAGAGTCTTTACCTCCCTTTGTTTTTTTTCCGACGCTTCACTTTCATTACTCAAGTTGATCCAGGGATGTTAATTTTAGTGGTAAGTTGTGTTCTACACTAGAAAGAGTACTAAAAAAACGTTCGAAGGGAATTTAGATAATTATATTAAAATTGTGTTTATATCCCTTTTAATGTCTTATATAGTCAAGTTTGTATATTTTTTCAGGTTGCATTAACTAAAACAAAATAAAACCAGAGATATATTTCTCAAAGATGTAAAATACAATAATATGATGCCTTTTAGTTAACATACCATTTTATGCAAATGTCGTTACGATACATGATGAATGATATACCATTTGTTCACGTTAACATTTTAAAAACGTGTTTCTGTTATTTTTTTTATCATTCGAAAGATTCATTACTTTCTCACGTTTTCATGTTTTGGAAAAATGATTCCACTATATACAATTTGCGTGTTAAAAATATTTCTAGAAAAGACGTAACACGATTAATCTACTTAAGCTAACTTTTCAACGTTTTATAATTATTCTAAGTTAATTTATCCATATCAGTTCGTTCGTTAACAGTTATTCTGTTATTTATCTGGCATTACCAGTCAAACTCAAAGTAATACTAAGTATTATTATTGTAATAGACAAGAATCAATTTGCTGTCAAAAAAAAAAAAAAAGGACAAGAATCAATTTTTGGTCAATATACAGCGATATACATTTGATACAATTATCATCACTAAAATTTACTATAGTTTGTAATGGTTATTCTTATCGTAATTTACAAATAAAGAAACAGAATCAGAGGGATTTAATTAGAGGATTTTTTCCTTGACACGGTTTAGGCATGACCCAACTATTTATACATAAAAAAATTGAAAACCTTTAAATCGTTTTGTAAGAAAAAGATGGCGAAACGAGCAGATATTTTCTGTCTCCTTGTCTTGTTTTTGAGTTCAGTCTCAGCAATCATAGATGATTCTCAAAATAAACAAGTGAGTTCAATCGAGTATATTAATCTCTATATGATAATTATCAATATATATTGCTTCTCTCTAGTATACAATCCATCATACATAATTATAATCCTTGAAGGTGTATGTTGTCTACATGGGCTCACTTCCGTCTCAACTAGAATACACACCAATGTCGCATCATATGAGTATTCTTCAAGAAGTCACCGGAGAAAGGTGCGATTTAATCTATTCATTCTCTAACCATTGCTTAGCTTATAATAATCATTGAGTGATATATACGTATGCACACTCTAGTTCGGTGGAAGGTCGTTTAGTGAGAAGTTACAAGAGGAGTTTCAACGGTTTCGCGGCCCGACTCACTGACTCAGAACGAGAAAGAGTAGCCGGTTAGTGTTCTTAATTTGATCGAAACACATTATAAGATGAAATGTTTTTAAATATTTGAAACCTTTTTTTTGTGTTGTTAATTAGAAATGGAGGGAGTTGTGTCTGTGTTTCCGAACATGAACTACAAACTCCAAACGACGGCGTCTTGGGATTTCTTGTGGTTGAAGGAAGGAAAGAATACGAAGCGAAACTTAGCCATAGAGAGTGATATTATCATCGGCGTCTTCGACACTGGGATTTGGCCGGAATCAGAGAGCTTTTCCGACAAAGGCTTTGGTCCTCCTCCTAAGAAATGGAAAGGTGTTTGTTCCGGCGGCAAAAACTTCACTTGTAACAAGTAAGTCTTTAAAATTTCTCTAATAGAAGATTAGTATTGTTTTAGGCAGAGATTGATGTGCTTACAAATTTTTCAGCAAGTTGATCGGAGCAAGAGACTACACAAGAGAAGGTGCTAGGGACCTCCAAGGGCACGGTACTCACACAGCGTCCACAGCAGCTGGAAACGCAGTTGAGAACACAAGTTTCTATGGAATCGGTAATGGAACGGCTAGAGGCGGCGTTCCAGCCTCTAGAATCGCAGCTTACAAAGTCTGCTCAGAGACAGATTGTACCGCGGCATCTCTACTGTCTGCCTTCGATGATGCAATAGCAGACGGTGTAGACCTCATCAGCATCTCTCTCTCGGGAAACAATCCCCAAAAGTACGAAAAGGACCCGATGGCGATTGGGTCTTTTCACGCTAATGTCAAAGGGATCCTTACTGTGAACGCAGCCGGTAATTCCGGTCCGGTTCCGGCCAGCATCGAGAGCGTAGCACCGTGGATTTTATCAGTTGCAGCCAGCACCACGAACCGTGGGTTTTTCACCAAAGTTGTTTTGGGAAACGGCAAGACACTTGTCGTAAGTATTCAAGTAACACTCTTATTTTTGTCATCATTGTAACTCTGTCCCTTTAAATATCCTTTTGTCTCGACAGGGAAGATCAGTGAATTCTTTTGATCTTAAAGGAAAGAAGTATCCTCTTGTCTACGGAGACGTTTTCAACGAATCTCTTGTGCAAGGTAAGATCGTGGTTTCCAGATTTACTACTTCAGAAGTAGCTGTTGCATCCATACGTAGAGACGGCTACGAACACTATGCCTCCATTAGCTCCAAGCCCTTCTCTGTTCTACCACCAGACGACTTTGACTCTCTCGTCTCTTACATTAACTCCACAAGGTAGCTAACGGTCTTCTCGCTAATATCTCTAGATTCTCCTTCTTTGTCTTGATACCTCTGTGTTTGTTTTCTCAGGTCCCCGCAAGGGTCTGTTCTTAAAACTGAGGCATTCTTTAATCAGACAGCTCCTACAGTTGCTTCCTTCTCTTCTCGCGGTCCAAACATCATCGCTGTTGATCTTCTTAAGGTATAATATTTTTTATGCTCTTGATTCTTTTTTTTTTTATTATTTCCTGGTCTAAGAGACAATGGTTGGTGGATGGATTGCAGCCAGATGTATCAGCACCAGGAGTGGAGATTCTCGCTGCGTATATACCTTTGATTTCACCATCTGAAGAAGAGAGCGATAAAAGACGTGTAAAGTACTCTGTTCTGTCAGGAACTTCTATGGCTTGTCCACACGTTGCAGGCGTGGCTGCGTACATCAAGACTTTTCATCCTGAATGGTCTCCTTCCGTGATCAAATCTGCCATCATGACAACCGGTAGTCCGCTAGTAACCTCTGTTTGCAAAACTCATATTCTTATTATTTTTTATTTTTTTGAATATAATGTTAAATTAGATTCAAAAGAAAAATAAGCGTTTTTACAACTAGTGCAACTTTTGGTTGATTTATGCTAATCTCTTATGAAGTCTCTTTATAAATCTTTTGCAGCTTGGCCAATGAATGATAATACAACTGGCTTCGAATCAACCGATGTCCTTGCATCAACCGAATTTGCTTCTGGAGCTGGACATGTCGACCCAGTAGCCGCTATAAATCCTGGACTTGTCTATGAACTGGACAAATCAGACCACATCGCCTTTCTTTGCGGTTTGAACTACACTTCGAAAACCCTTCAGCTCATCGCCGGTGAAGCCGTCACTTGCAGTGGAAAGACCTTACCAAGAAACCTCAACTATCCTTCAATGTCAGCTAAAATTTATGACTCTAATAGCTCCTTCACCGTGACTTTCAAAAGAACCGTCACCAACCTCGGTACCCCCAACTCTACCTACAAATCAAAGATCGTCTTAAATCGCGGAGCTAAGCTCAGTGTCAAGGTCACGCCTAGAGTTCTTTCTTTTAAAAGGGTGAACGAGAAACAGTCTTTCACAGTAACTGTTTCAGGCAACAATCTCAACCGAAAACTACCTTCATCTGCAAATCTAATATGGTCTGATGGAACACATAACGTGAGAAGTGTCATTGTTGTCTACATTGGTGATTACTCGTGAGGCATTATCAGTTCACCATAGTCATCATTATCATAATATTATCGCCGAATTGCCCTATGTGTTTCTTTATTCTACATTTGTGTTTCTTAGTTCACAGTTTCAGATCTTTTCGGGTCAATTGTCCAAACTCTCTTGTGGTGTCACATAATGAATCATTGGACGACCAATAAAAAAAAGAGCACTTTGCATATTTAAAAAAATATAAATAAATAAGAATGAATTCAAAGAGGATGTATATAAAAAGTATTAGACATCTTAAAAATTTGGCTGCTTCTTCTCCTTGTATCTTTTCATCTCTTCTTCTATCTTAAAGCCCTGAATTGAGAAGAAGCAAAAAAAAAGATAACATATTCGATATAGTTAGACCAATTAATGAGAAATGTACATTACTAAAGCAAGAGAGAGGATATGCTTACTTTCACAATATGGTCTCTACACTGTAGATGGTCGGTGAACTCTTCAAAGCTTTGGCTAGCAAAATGGCATCTGCATGATCTGCATTTAAACAAGTTATCGATGCACTCTAGTCTTCTTGTCTCCTGAGGATCCATTGCATCTGTTGGGGGAAAACATCAAACTATATAGTTGAGGAAACAAGAGATTTGCTTGCTGGTTATTATTTCAAACACACAAACAAATTAAAACACACCTTTGAGAAAGTTGTCCCAGAGCCACTGTGCAGGAGTGACAATGTCAAAAGGTTAATTTTTCAGGATTGGCAACATATTTTTTAGGCAGAGCATGTGGATATATGCTAAAAGGGTGTTGTATCCCTCCTCATAATTTTCGCAAAAATGGTTAGACATGGCCTCCAAATCAAGGTCATCGGATATGAGCATCACTGTAGCCGGAGGCTGATTAACATCTTGCCAGTCAAGCATTTCAAGCAAAACGCTCGAGGGATCTGTTCATCAATGTACAAGGATTTAAAAACCCTAATTTGAAACTATAAAACTAAGAGATAAGAAGAATATCTTACGAGGGATATCTCTAATAAGGATTCCGGTGGAAGAGAGCGCTCGCAGGACGTCAACAGGAATATCTTCCAGGTCGCCAACGGCAGTTATGGTAAGAGGACCAGAGTAGCCTAAACTCTTCAACACCATGTCTATTCTCGGACCGACCTGACAAGCATTATAACCATCGGGAATCGGACACCTGTTCATGTTCCACCACACCCCCGTTGGAGAGTTCACGTACTCAGGCGCCGCCTCCTTCACCATATCCTTAAATTCGTTTAAACCTAAAACAAACAAATTCATAAAACAGTTAAAAAAAGAAAAAAAAAAAAGAGACGTATATTAATACGAAATTCGCATGGAAATTGAAAAAACCGACCTTGTTTATTATCAGCCGATGGGTAGAGATCGCGATCCCTAGCAGCAGTACGTCGAAGATGTCGTTAATGGAGGAAGGAAGGAAACTGTGATAAGAAGAGAGGATCAGAGGAAGAAGCACTCGCAAAGCAGATGACGGGACGACGTGGAAGGGCCGAACGCCGGAAATTTAAAGAACCTCCCGAGAATGAAAACCGCCAGAGACTCTAGCGTCGCCGAACGCTGAAATTGACGGCAGATTCTCCAGAGAAGGAGCACCAGCGCTTATGGCTACTCTCCTCTAATCGGCGGTGGCGAGATATGCGACGGAGAAGTGGAGTTCAATGTGAGAAGTCTTGACTTTTTTTTTCTTTGTTTGTGTCGTCGGCTGTAAAAAACAAAGAAGACAAATGTTTTCTTTATTTATTTAATTTTATATGTTTTTTTTTTGTTTAACACTGAAATGAAAACGAAATGGACTTTTGGTCTTTTTATACCAAATTTGTGTTATTCTAGTTAGCCACAAATTTTGAGTGTTAATCTAGCAATTAGTTTCAAAATTTGTGTCAAACTGGGTAATTTCCACTATATCTATATATAATTTGCAAACTTATGGGCCTTTCTAATGGGTATGAATCTTGATCTCAACCTCCACCGTCTTCACATAAACCCCCACTCGCCATAGCTCCGCCTCTAAGCCATATCCAACTTTAGGAGTCAACAACCTCCTCGCCGCGTCATTATACTTCTCATTCCCTGAAACATAATATTAACGATGAGTGAGAAACAAATTACTTTTCTCATTAAACCAGTGGCGGACCCATAAATGATTTTTACCTGGGTCAAAAAAATTAAGCAAATAAGTCATATTGGGGAATCGAACACAAGATTTGGGGGTGTCATTAAGCAAAGAATTGCCGACTTTGCTGCTGATTCTTCTAGAATTTTAGTGCAAAACGACATATATATTTATTTTACCTGGGTCAAGTGACACCCCTCTCATGTGAACGGGTCCGCCACTGCATTAAACTCTAAATGTGTGATTACAACACTATATACATTAGAATAAGCTAAAGGAGACTTATTCTAAACTATATACTATATAATGTTAATACACCCCTATCAAGCCTTTGAACCGGAAGTCACTCAAGGCTGAAAGAGGCTTGATATTGACATCCGACTGAGTAAGGAGTGGAAAAGACCAGGATGAAATGGTTTAGGGGGTGATTGGCACGAGGCTTTAAAGACTTTAGGGCTATTCTAAAGTCTTTAAAGTTTTTTTTTTGCCAATTAAGCTTTTTTGACTTTAATTATTTTTAAAGTTCTCAAAGCCTTTTTTTTTTCTTCTTTGTTTTCCTTCTTTGTTTTCCTTCTTTTTCTATCTTTATTTTAAGATCTATTTCATTAATAATTATTTTATTTTCAACATCATCATTAGTGTTGGTTTAAAAGAGTATATAGAATTAGTAATTTTTTCAAAAGCCATATAAGTTTTTTAAGTTTATCCCACTTCTTACTAATATGTTGAGTATTAAATTTCTACATGAAATAATAAATATAAATAAATGCGTGCATTTAGAATATTTATTTCTAAACTTTTATCATTTTTTAAATAAATATTTTATTATTAATAATGGATTTTAAGTTCCTACCAAAAAAAATAATGGATTTTTAGTTTTTTTTTTCTTATTGCAATGTTTTTAAAAATTTTATCATTAATAAAACTATATTTGCATATGAATTCATTTCTAACATAATTTCCATTTATTATTAATATATAATAATAATAATAATAAATAACAGTCCTAAATTCTACAGTTTTGTGCTCCTAATCAGACTTTAACAGCCAAAGTTTCTATAGCCAAAGTCTTTACAGCCAAATTCTCTGCAGCTCAAATTTATAAAGTCAAAAATTCCAAAGCCAAAACTTATAGTCGTTACCAATCGGCCTCTTAGTCAGTATATCTGCCAATTGGTTTGTTGTAGAGACATGAATGACCTGCAATGAACCATCTTTCACACGATCTCTCGTTTTGTGAAGATCAATTTCTACATGTTTAGTCCTCTCATGAAGACCGGATTATTTTCAATATGCATTGCAGATTTGCAGACTTATTATCACAAAAAAGTTTAGCTGGAGATCGAAAAGAGATATGCAGATCCTTCAATAATTGAGTTAACCATACCAACTCATCAGATGTTTGAGCCATTGCTCTGTACTGCTACTACTTACCACCTGTTGCTTTTTAAATTTCTAGAACATCAAAGAAGTTCCAAGGAAAACACACATACCCGTGGTAGATCTTCTAGTTCCAATTGTTGTTTGAGAGCTTCTAGTTGGATGGTCTTGAAGAGAGACTTTAGTCTTTACCTTCTTTTTTCTGACTACTTCACTTTCATTACTCAAGTTGATCCAGGGATGATAATTTTAGTGCTAAGTTGTGTTCTAGTATAACAGATGAAGAACAGATTCTACGCAATAGATACAAGGACGCCAAACTGGTTAAAATTTTTTTAAGGTATCTTCATGCAAAAAAGTTGTCATGAATGTTTTACTTTTCATATATAACGTCGAGTTTGGAGAAGTAATTGGTATCATTCAAGCGCATGAGATAAATTTTAATCTTTGAAAGTTTAGAGAATCCTAAGACAGTAGACGTGAAATTGGTTAAAAAAATACAAGGACGAAACCTGGTTAAAAAGTTTTTAAGGTATCTTCATGCAAATTTTGATACACAAAAAGTTGTCATGAATGTTTTACTTGATATCAGTGCCGGTACAAAGTCTTTTTTTCTCCTAAAAAATAGTGTTTAATAATGTGAGGTCCTAAGCGATGGTTTCACTTGCTTGTCGTCCTGACCGGACCTGCTTCACACATATAACTTTGGAGAAATTGGTATCATTCTAGTACATGAAATAAATTTAAACTTTGAAAGTTTAGAAATCCTAAGAGAGTAGATCTAGTAGTATACGGTAAAAAAAAATCAGAGAGAAGCCACAGAAACACCGTACAAAGGTTAGAGTGGAAATGGATACAAACCATGATACATGTTTTGTTAATTTCTAGTGTTCGTTGGATAATTCATAGATGATTAAGATGTGTCGTCTGATGGTTCCAAAAAATCTTCTCTTTGAAGTTATTATGCCGTAATTTATCTTTCTAACAATTAAGTTTGCCATTGACAAAAGAAAACAAGAAAATAGTTACCATACCCTTTTTCCCCATGTGAAGTTGTTTTTTTTTTTTTTGTTTTTGGGTCGGAAAACTCTTTACCATTAGACTGAGTAATTTAAGATTTTAAGATATATTTAAAAATGGATCACTTTCCACAAAAATTTATGTTGCTTCTCGATACTTCCACTGTTCCACATATTTGTTCTTAAGATAAATCCTCTGTCTAAGAGCACCAAACAGTTGACCAAAAAAATAAAGCAAAAAAAAACAATTCTTATATCTTCAATCTGTATCTATTTTTTCCCGTATAAACCATACTATTTTATAACAAAATTGGAAAAAGAATATATCAAATTCATAGAGCAATAAACATGCAAAACATTTTTTCAAAAATATTACAAATAGATCATATTAATAACCTATTTGACTTTCGATAACAGCGACGTCCCAAAAAGCAAAAAAAAAAAAAAAAGGAAAAATTAAATCTCATTCGACCGGAAAAAATAATTAATAAAAAAAGACAGCTAAATGAATTCATTTATAACTCCAAAGATTATCTCCTTCATGATTCTCCGGCGAATCATCCTCCACCGTCGGAGTTATCATCATTCTCGGTGGACTCATCAACATTCCTTCAGCCATCTCCGTCAACAAAGTCGGCATATTCAACATCGCTTCCTCATCCATAAACTCCAACGAACACGACACTTCTTCTTCTTCTTCTTTTTTCCCGGGTTGACCCGGTTCCAATACCTTCTCATCCCCACCCGGATCCGGTTGCTTCATCTCCGCTGCTCTACTAGCAGCCGCTCTTATATCCGCTGCAGAGTTTGAAACCGGAGCCACGTAAGTCAAAGCTAAACCGGGAAAATTCAAAACGGCGTCGGGTCCTTTTAAAGCTAACGCCGCCACGTCGTAAGCGGCCGCAGCCATCTCCGGTACCGGGTAAGTCCCGAGCCATATTCTTGTCGTTTTACGTGGCTCTCGAATCTCCGATACCCATTTTCCGTTACGTAGTCGAATTCCCCTGAAAACAGAGTGTTTTCCGGATAATCCAGTCGGGGTTCTTCTCGCCGGAGATCCACCGGAAGGTCTCGGTGAAGGAGAAGAAGATGAGCCTGGTGAGGTTTGAGGAGATTGATCAGTAGGCAATGTGATTGAGACTTCACGAAACGTCGTCGTTTCTTGATTCACGGTGGTCGGAGAATTATTATTATTCGACATAATGTTTTTGTGTGATGATTAAACTAATGTTACAATGTGTTTTTGTGTTCTGTTTTTGTAGCAAAGTGTGTTTGTGTATATATATGATATGTTTTTGGATGAGAGATATTTTCAAAACCGTGGGAAATTCGTGAGAAGCTCCGTTTTTTTGTTGTTGGATGATATGAGATTATGAGCTGTTACACATAAATACGATTAGATTTAATTTTATACTATTTGTTTATGATCGTATAAAGAGAAATTGCAATTTTGCTCTAACCTCATTCCTCAGTTGATCGTATTTAATTCTATAAAAAAAAATTGTCTACTCATTGCTTAAAATGTCAAAACCAAGATTTGTTAATTAAAAGTAGATTTGTGAACCCCATGTAGAGACAGCCACTTACGATGACCAAATCGCAAACTATACACTTAATGATTCGATAGTTACTTACCACTTAGCAGTAATTTATTATAACAATAGGAAATATTTTAAAAACGGCAGGGTATTATCAAATTCGGTAGAGCTTCTTCTATTGGTTTGGAGACTTTGTGGTAATAAGTGGCTTGACTTATGAATAATCTATTCAGCCACATGAAAAAGGGTAACAACTTACAAATCTCAAATTATATTTTAAGGTTATAGAGTTCTAGTGAAATCGGTAGAGACAAATAAAAACCATCGTTTCCATTGCACGAATGATCAAAACATTTGCGTATTTTCCCTTAGATTTTTTTTTCCTATGTATACTCTTCCGATATAATTATATTTTGTCGATGATACTAATTGGTATAATTCTTAGAAAAAACAATTTAAAGCTTTTCTATAGTTATTTTCCTAATATCATAATTTGTCCAGCCTAAAAACATTTAAAGTTGAATTTGATATATAACTAAACCATAGATGATAATTTTCAAAATGGAAACAATGACATTTTTCTATATATAATAGTGTGATTTATCATGTATGTTAATTTTGAAAAATATCATATTATCGAATAAAATAACATGTTATGTTTTGATCTCATGCGGGAAAATGAATCATAAATATTTACGAAAATGCTATACACCAATTTTGCAGTAAAACCATGGTGGTTAAGTTGTCTTTTAACGTTTTAATTGTCATTTTTTTGTGCGTTCACAATATATTTTTAGTGTGTGAAAGAATAGCTAAAAATATTATGGTGAATAATGATGATTGGTTGTCGTGATTTCTAACCACATGTTTGTACTGCAAACTTTGTAGTATTCAAAGCCTTAAATCAGAAAACGGTCATTGAACATATAAAATTGTATATGAACTTCCCATTTAATTTTCTAAATCATATTTGAAATATCAGTATTAAAATATTTGGAAGAAATCGAACAAATCAGAACTTTTTGGTATTTGGATGATAGTGGACACTGGACACATCTCCATATCAACTCCACATAATGAGTTGTACCAAAACGTATTTTATATTTTCTTTCCGCTTTTGCACTTTTTAAAAAATAAACCCAAAAGCGAGGCTGCGAATCGAACACGTACCCCGTGCGATTTGATTTTATTTGTAAATAAAAACTAAATTAAGGTGAATCAAAAAGGCAATAAAATAACAGAAATAAAAAGAGATAAAAGAAAGTCAAGATATACTTTTATTGGAGTAATGGTGAGCACTTAAGGACGCCAGCCAAACCTTGGTAAGAAGACGAGTCTCTCTATATGGAGAATGAATGTCCCACACGATTTGTTTCACGGTAGGACTCTCCTATAGGCTTTTTTTTTTTTTTTTTTTTCCTTATTTTATTGTTCATTTCATTATTACAACAGCCCACAACATCACTCAATAATGAAATGAGATCATCCTCCAATCACCTATGTTAGGTTTTAAACCATGACAATCTTCAATCCTACGTCTACTCAACCATTTAGTTTCATGGATATAATTTGAATGAAAATTACAAATTTTTTAACCGGTTTTGAACAATTTACATCTCGATATAATTTTCTCTGCTATTTCCACAAAACTTTTCATTTATTTACTGAGATGATCGATTAGGTTTACTAGATATCCTCCTTGACATGTTTTTCTACCACATAAATGGATCAAAAGAGAATTGGTGAAAATGCTAGACAAAAAAACTCAAAAAGATCTAATTTTTAGATCATTTTACGGGTCCTTCTCAACACAATTTTCTCTGTTATTTCCACAAAACTTTTAATGATTTACTGAGATTATCGAATAGGTATAGCAAATATCCTCCTAATGTTTTTTACTCCTTGACGTGTTTTCATGAGATTAAAACTGCTCAATAGATATGAAATCATAATTGGATACATTATTACAATTTGAGAAAATGTAAAGCATATAATGCATTTCTAGAGATCTTATAACAAAAGAGTAAGTACTGGGTTAGAGAAAGGCCATGCAGGCCCCTACCCTACCTATTGTACCAACATTAAATAAAAGCCACATTTCACCATACGACAACCTCCGGTCCTTTAGCTCTTTCTTGCTTCTTTGCTCTTCGACTTGACTAATTACTTTTACATGTTTTTGCATGTTTTTGTTGTCCAATGTACATCATTACGTGCTAAGACAATGCTTCAAATTTCACATTTTCCATCATTTTAAAGATAAAAATGAAGAAATCTTCTCCAATGGTACTTCATTTTTACTTTCAAAATGAAGAAGTGAATAGTATATCTTCATATTTGAAGGTATATCATTCATATCTTCATATTTTGAAGATGAACTTTTTTATTTACAATATGATCTTTTAAATTATAAGAAGTTTTTCTTTTATACCAAACAAATTATTTCTTTATATTTTATCCAATTAATTTATAAATTTCATTTTTCTATTTTATCCACTCAAATTAAAATGCAATGATAACTTCTATTAAATAGAAAAACAACAAAATATTCAATATAAAACTTAAAATACATTATTAATACCGACATTAATGATAAAATAAACATAACATAGCATAGAGTAACAACTTAATAATTTGGTAATGCGCTTCCAGATCTATTAAGATACTTAAAATATTGCTCAAATGTAAACTGTAGATAAAATTTGTTGAACTATTAGTTAACCATAAATAAATGGGGCAAAATTTATAAATTTAGAAAGTAAAGGGCATTGTTAATAATTTATAATGAAATAAAGATAGAATATACTTAGAATATTCTTTTTGAAGTAGAAAATGAAGGAAACCATTGGAAAAGCTTTGCTTCATTTTTTCCTTCAATTTTGAAGAAACTTCAATTTTGAAGATATATTTGAAGGTAACCATTGAAGATGCTCTAATGCCGTATGCTATGAACATTGTCTTAATAGCTTACTCAACGTTTGGTGAACAAATTTTGTAGTAAATTTTGGGCAATTCCGCCAAAAAATTTGGTTTAATTTTTTCGGAATGTTTTTTTTTTTCCTAAAAATATCTCAAGCTTAGATGTAGTAAACATTGATAATACATTTCTTCTCATTTTATGTTGAACATTTCTGAACCAAAACAATGAAAAACATAACTTAGTAGAAAATTTGGTTAATCTTCGAATCAAACCAAAACAATAATGAGAAGCGCTCTAGATCTAGGGTAAAACTACATGAAAGATTATTTCACGGGAATAATGTGATGCCAAATGGTTATTTTATCCTTAGTAAAAATTAAACCTAAACAAAGGTGTTAGTTGGACTCAAAATTTGAGAAAGTATGTAAAAGAGTGGAATGGATCATTTTTATGTTCTTCTAAATTCTAATATATCAGCAGAATAGTAGAGTAATTGAATAGCAGGGTGAATTGAACATGAATTTTTTTTTCTTCGAAATAATCATAAAATGCTAAAAAGGTAGCTTTATAGATTGAAGATGTTTTTTTCTCTCTTCTAATTCTATTTTTAAGACTTGTAGTATATAGCATAATCACTTTTTAGATATGTAAAAATGTGAAAATTTGATTAATTTAATGCAAAACCCGGAAACGTGAAAAATGTTCATACCGTTTGTGCGAGTATAAACCAGATGATAAATCAAGTCAGTTTTGAAGAGGATTCGAACCAAAATCGACCGGATTGTCTTTGAACCTTAGCATATCATGATAGAAAATAACTCCGTCATGATAAGGTGGTCCATGACCTAGTAGAACCAGAAGATTTGAAAAAAAGAAATGGATGAGCAACGTGATGTTGGTAGATACTCAAAATTTCCAAACGATCTAGCCACCGGTTCCTTGATGCTTCGAGAACTCCATGGACTTCTCTATCGACCACCCACGGTGTTCTGAATATTTGTCGCCATCGTTAGAGCTCGATAGAGAAAAAAAGAAGGTAAAATCGGGAATGAGAAAAAGAAGATTATTTTTGTAGTCTTATTTAATGCAAAATCATTTTTTTTTTGTTAATTTATTCGGGTTTTGGGTCGTTATTTTGGTTGAAAATTTAGAATAAACCGAATGGATTTCAGATCAGATTGGTTTTGGTTCTATCCGGAGTCAGGTTGGTTTTCAAAATTTATTTTAAACCCAACATAGAACCAAAATAATTTTTAAGAAAATTTCTAAAAATAATTTGACGTCGTACTTGCATCGGTATATTCAATGTTTTTA